CTTTCATTGCATCCCATAGATTCCATTAAGTTACAATTGAATTTTCATTGAATTGTAGATATTGTTAAATTTCTTGTTTGTGACCCATTGATTGCTGAGTAGGGTTTTATTTAATTTCCATGCATGTATGTGTTTTTCAGGTTTCTTTTGCTGTTTATTTCCACTTTCATTGCATTGTGGTCAGATAATATGCATGGGATAATTTCTGTTTTCTTACATACATGTAAGCTTGACCTAAGTTCTAGAATGTGGTCTATTTTAGAGAATGTCCCATGTGCAGCTGAAAAAAAGTATGTATTCAGCTGTGGTTGGTTGGAACACTCTGCATATGTCCACTAAGTCCATTTGTCTCAAGTTTTGCTACTTCTTTTTAATTTTTTTGGTCTGCTTGACCCTCTTTTTGGTATAAGGGTTTTTAAGGTCTCCTGTTAAGATTGTGGTACTGAATATTAGATTTTTTAATGTCCATTAAGATTTGTCTTATATTGTTGTGTGTTCCCATGTTTGGTGCATAGATATTTATGAGTGTTACCTCTTCCTCTTGAATTTTTACCCTAACCAGTATATAGTAGCCTTCTTCATTTTGTTTGATCATTCTTGGTTTGAAGTTGAGACTGTCTGAGGAAAGGATTGCTACCCCTGCTTTTTTCTGAGGTGCTGGGCCATGTAGTATTGTTTTCCAGCCTTTGACTTTCTGCCTATGAATTTCTTTATGAGTTAAGTATATTTCTTGTATGCAGCATATTGTTGGATTTGTTTTCCTAATCCCTTTGCCAGTCTCTTTTTTTAAATTCGTGAATTGAATCCATTTACATTGACGGTTATAATTGAGATGTATTGATTTATGATTGGCATGTTATTTACTTGCTGTTGTTTACTCCTTTTTCTCCTGTGTTTAATTGTTTGCCCTATTTTGTGGGTTACTTCTGTCCTCATTCATGGAGTTCTGATCATTCTGGTCCCTCTCTAGAACATCTTTTAGTAGCCTGTGTAGGTTTGGGTTTGTTATCATAAAATCGTTTAGTAGGTCTTTGTCATGGAAGTATTTTACTTCTCCTTCAAACTTAAAAGAGAGTTTTTCAGGGTATATCAGTGTAGCCTGGAATTTGTTTTCATAGAGGACTTGAAGTACTCTGCTCCATGCTCTTCTTGCCTTTATGGTTTGTGAAGAGAAGTCTGCTATTATTCTGATGGGTTTTCCTTTATATGTGATCTGTTTCTTTTCTCTAGCGACTTTCAGTATATTGTTCTTCTGCTGTGTTTCTGGGATTTGTCTATTATACGTCTCAGTGTGTTTTTAATTGGGTTGAAGTTATTTGGAGTTCTGTATGCTTTGGTTACTTGAATGTCAGAGTGTTTTCCCATATTTGGGAAATTTTCTGCTATTACTTCTGCCCATATTCTTTTTATATCATTTTAATTGACTCCTTTCTTATTGATGCCTATTAGTCTCACACTGTTCATCTTTGCATCGTCTTGCAAGTGATGAATTAATTTTTTCTTGCATCCTAGTTGTTTTTAAGAGATTTTTTTCTTACCTTTTCACTTGGTGTATTGGCATCTTCCAGATATGAAAGTCTGCCTTCATTTTCACTCAAACGGGTTTTCAAGCTTGTGATTGAGATTTTAAGTTCCTGTATATCTCTTTGATTCTGCTTCATGTGATTTATTTCTTTCCTATATTGCTCATTGAAGGATTCCATCATTTTTCTAATCTCTATTTTTTTTATCAGTGTCTTCCTGGGAAGCTGTTATTAATTCTTTTGCTTCAGAGATAATTTCTGATCTGATTTCCTCTATATGTTTCTGCATTTGATTCTTTTCTTCAGATGCTACTAATTCAGAGATTGCTTTTTTTATTTGAGAAGCTTTTCTGATCTGAGTTCCTCTATATCTTTCTGCAGTTGTTTCTTTACTTCAGATGCTATTAGCCAAGACATTTCAGCTGTGTGACTCACAATTTCTCCTGTGCTAGTGTCTTCTGCACTTGTTCTGGGTGGGCTCGGAGGCTGGGATTGCATTTTATTTCTTCTCTTTGTCATTTTGTGTAGCACTGTCCTCTGACCTTTGATGTAGAATTTTCATGCAGTTACTACCTAACACCTCGGGTGCAGATCTACAAAGTTTGAATTCATCCAGTTGTGTGTGGCTTGGGTCTCACTGCAGTGCTCAGTTTATTCTTGCTGTAGCCTTTGGAACTGAAGCTGCAGTGCCCATGTGGCAAGATGTTCTGCTTCTGGATTAGGTGGGTTGTTCTGGCCCTTAGCCTTTCTGCAGAGGCTTCAGATGCAGAGTTTTACTCCAGGCCTATATACCAGGCCTGTGCTGGGTCTGGAGGAGTCCTGAGAGGGCATTGTAAGTTCTCACTCACATGTCGCACCAGGGTTGGGTTAGGAGCCTTTCAGCGGGTGCAGGCAAGCACAGAAGCTCTCTCTCACACTGGCTGGACGTGGGCTTGGGCTGGATCTTGTGGGGTCCCAAGAGCGTGGCCGAAGTCCTCACTCACAAGCTGGTCCTGGGCTGGGTCTGAAGGGGTAGCGGGGTCCCAAGAGCATGGTGGAAGCTCTCAAACTGACTCACTGGGCCATGGGCTGCATTTGGAGCTGTCCAGTGGGCACAGGGGAGCATAGAAGCTCTCCCTCACACTCGCTGGTCCTGGCCTTGGGCTGGGTGTTAAAAACGTCTTTTTTGTTATTTTTTAAAAATTTTATTTATTTATTTGTGTGTGTGTGTGTGTGTGTGTGTATGTGTGTGTGTGTGTATGTGGCCAGCTCAGCCCACCAGGGGCCGGGGCTGGCTGGCATGTGGTGCTGGGGGATTGAACCACGGTCCCTGTGCTCCACCAAGCCCGTTCTAAGTAGGTGCTTTAGACCACTGAGCCATCTCACCAGCCCCTTAAAAATGTCTTTATTCATTTGAGATAGAAGTCCTTTTACTGGTGGACAGTCAGTTATAATTTTTTCACAATTTGTCAGCTGTGTTTCTAAATTGTTGGTGGTTTCTTTTTTCATTTTTTAAAGAGTACAAAATATTATTAAAACAGAAAAATTACAAATCATATAGAATACCATAAAACAATATAATATGAATGTTACAGTATTTATTGTAATGTCTTGTGTTGTCTTCAGATTAGCTATTCACATTACCAGATACATGCACAGAAAATTTGAAGAAGAAAAAAATGAAATATATAAGAAATTAAGAGGACTGGCCATATAGCTCAGTGGATTAATGCTCCTGGAAGCAGGTGCAGGGGCCTGGGGTTCTATCCCAGGACCTGCCGTGCCAGTCTCACCCATGGGGCACAGTGAGCTGGAGATTGAGACTGTATGTGGTGGCATGTACCTGTAATCCCAGCACTTGGGAGGCTGTAAACAGTAGAATCACTGTGAGTCCAAACTCGTAGTGAGAGCCTGAACACCCTATAGACCCTTCCCTAAAAAATACAGAAAAAAAAGTTAAGAAGAGGAAAAGGACAAAGAATTGAAAAAAAGAGACAAAATGATTTAACCATTAACTGTTCCTTTCCACAGATGAGCAGAAATGCACAGTAGTCATTTAAACATCCTACTTCCATACATAGATGTATCTCTCTCCCCTAGTCCCTCTCCTGTCCTCATCAATTCAGTAATTCATTCCTTTAAATGGGTTTATTCCCATTTCCCAGTATCTTTTGCAAGTTCAGATTCCATTTTCTCTTTCAGGTTATCACACTAAGAAGACAATATGATGTTTGCATATGTGGGTCTGATTCATTTCAGTTAAGACTGTGGTCTCGGGCTGGTGAGATGGCTCAGTGGTCTAAAGCACCTACTTAGAACAAGCTTAGCAAAGCACAGGGACCGCGGTTCAATCCCCAGCACCACATGCCAGCCA